TCTTCCTAGCTTGAATTCCAAGTGAACGCATCCAATTGTTATTTCCCAATAACAATTTAAAAGCAACTAAGAAGATATTTTTGTTTAACATTCATAGAAATGACAATGATACCCAGACTGAAATCTTCAATAAAAATATGCTTCACTAGGCTGTCGTTCACTGGCTTGGCTTCAGAATGGAGAATATCATGCTAATTTAGCGGGATATTTGGGGATTTTAGTTATGATTTGCTTTATTACTGTTTTCCCCTTCGGCATAGAAATATAATAAATTCAATTCAATTCAATTTTGCCCAGGGACTAACTGAATAACATTTAGTAATTCTCAATATGCTATTTCTTAAAACCATGAGCATACTATTTTCTCAAGAGATAATGATTTTGCTTTGTATGATGGTCCTTAGAAAATCTAACAAAATGTTGAAACGAAAACATTTAGGCATAAAACAGTGAAGAAGACAAAATTCACAGTTAAAGAAAGCAATTGTATTTGTATAGTTTGGGGAAAAAATGTATTGGGTCTGTTGTTTGAATGCCGAGAAACACATACAGAGGTGGTAAAAATGTCAAGGTCATAATGTTCATGAAAGCCTTTTGACCAGTTAGGAATTTTTATTAATTCTTTAAATGCAAATACCATGGTACTGTGGACACGTTCTTTACCTCCTGCAGAGCAAAAGGTGGAAAATTACAATTAGCTTTTCAGAAAGGAATGTTACATACCAAGAACAAGAGGCCAAATTCTTTTTTTTTAATCTAAATATAAATGTATCTCTTAAACTGAGAACTCTGAGATTATCAATATTACAATCTCATTTTACAGTGAAAATAAGAGACTTTTGGGAGCAACAGGATTTGCTCTTGTTTCAGGGATGCTAAATAATTTCTTCACTTTTAATATATCAAAAGAGAAGAATACATATTTGCCAGCTTTGACAATTTAATGTTATATGTATTTCTGGAATATATAGAATAGAATAGAAAGAATAGAATAGAATAGAATAGAATAGTTGGAAGGGACCTTGAAGGTCTTCTAGTTCAACCCCCTGCTTAGGTAGAAAACCCTACACCACTTCAGACAAATGGCTATCCAACATCTTCATAAAGACTTCCAGTGTTGGGGCATTCACAACTTCTGGAGGCAATCTGTTCCACTGATTAATTGTTCTAACTGTCAGGAAATTTCTCCTCAGTTCTAAGTTGCTTTTCTCCTTGATTAGTTTCCACCCATTGCTTCTTGTCCTACCCTCAGATGCTTTGGAAAATAGTTTGACTCCCCTTATTTGTGGCAGCCCCTGAGAAATAGGAACACTGCTATCATGTCACCCCTAGTCCTTCTTTTCATTAAACTAGACATATCTAATTCCTGCAACTGTTCTTTATATGTTTTAGCCTCCAGTCCCCTAATCATCTTTCTTGCTCTTCTCTTCTTATTGAGAAATAACCAGTTTTCTGAGAGATCTAGTGAAGGTGGTTTTTTACAAGCCTTCATCTATTCAAAATACGTGTAGAATAGGAATGAAATGTACTATATATCTGAAAATGATACAGAAAGGAGAAAAAAATTCCTTTCCCAAGTGGTTCTCCTCACAAATGTTTTTCTGGCTGCTGAGCTCATTTAAGCTCAGTACCTAATTGGCTATCCCTAAACCTATCTCTAATTCTTTTGCTTAAAAAACAGAAAATCTTGGCCTCCAGAAGAATGTTAAAATTTAGCTTTTCCCAAATGTTAGCCCCAAAATAGTAAGGGAGTGCAAGATATGTATACATTTTAACATTTAACCATAATACTAACAAAGCTAATAGGGTACACTTGTTTCTCCCCATTTTTTTCAAGTTATGTGAATAATAATCTATTAAAGCAAATTCTCTGGCATGAATCATGCTGTCCTAAGAGTTAAATTGAATTTTTCCAGGTAATATGCAAGGCTAGAACACTGGGTAATATGCAGGGGTGGGATTCAGTCGGTTCGGACCAGTTCTGACGAACCAGATGTTAATTTTAATCTGCTTCGCTGAACCAGTAGTTACAAGGACTGGCTGACCCCGCCCACCCCTCCCCTCCCATGAGTCTCCATGTAGCATGTTTTGGGTGCCAGGTAAGTGCAGGACCGGCATGGAGGCTCTGGGTGGGTGAAAAATGGGCCTACCGGAAGTTCCGGAAGTCCAGAAACAAGCCTGTTTCTGGCCTCTGGAGCTCAGGGGAAGCCATTTTCGCCCTCCCAAAGGCTTGAAGAAAGCCTCCAAAGCCTGGGATGGGTGAATACGCCCCCTCCCAAAATTTTGGAGCAGGAAGCCAACTAGGCCATACCTACCCAGCAACTGGCCAGAGAACTGGTTGCTAAAATTTTTCAATCCCACCCCCGGTTATATGCCATGTATGGTAATAATTAAATTCACATAAAAGGCATTGTCAAGAGAGTCAATTAAATTCTAGCATTAAATCAAATCACAGCTAATACATATCAAAATAAGTATTGGTTATGAAGTATATTTTCTGCCGCTATCAAAAAAGCTACATTTAAAACTATAATATATATAAAAATATGCTTTATATATTATTTTATATATTATAAAATATATGCTTTATATATTATTAAATTAATAATAATCTTGATTACAATATGCAGCAGTTTATATAGACACAAGAACATCTCCATCTTAATTCTTTGAACAATGATTGTGTGAATTGTGAAGCTATTTATTTTCTATTCATTCCATTTAATGGTTTGCATTTCTTCTGCAAACCATTAAATTACAAACCATTATTTTAAATTAAGAAGTGCCAGAAAAGTTCTATATAAACAAACCAAGAAAGAGAGTAAATCAGTGGCTATTAGAAATATGGGCTTTGGCTAACTTTTTCATATTTATTGAAAAATATGAAGAATCAATCAATCAAAAGAATCAAGATGGAAATTATTCCAATAAAATATTGGTAAAGGATAGGTGAATATACCCCCTTAGCTTTTGACGGAGGACAAAGCATTAGATAATGCTGACAAACTTGAACATTGGGCATTGTCTAATAAAATGAAATTCAATGGTGAAAAGAGTAAGGTTCTACATTTAGGCAAGAAAAATGAAATGCACAGGTACAGTATAGGTGGTACCTTGCTCAATAGTAGTAACTGTGAGAGGGATCTTGGAGTCCTAGTGGACAACCATTTAAATATGAGCCAGCTGTGTGCAGCAGCTGCCAAAAAAGCCAACACAGTTCTAGGCTACATAAACAGAGGGATAGAATCAAGATCACGTGAAGTGTTAATACCACCGGATAATGCCTTGGTAAGGCCATACTTGGAGTACTGCATTCAGTTTTGGTCGACACAATGTAGAAAAGATGTGGAGACTCTAGAAAGAGTGCAGAAAAGAGCAACAATGATGATTAGGGGACTGGAGACTAAAACATATGAAGAACGGTTGTAGGAACTGGGTATGTCTAGTTTAATGAAAAGAAGGACTAGGGGGAGACATGATAGCAGTGTTCCAATATCTCAGGGGTTGCCACAAAGAAGAGGGAGTCAAACTATTCTCCAAGGCACCTGAGGGTAGGACAAGAAGCAATGGGTGGAAAATAATCGAGAGAAGCAACTTAGAACTGAGAAGAAATTTCCTGACAGTTAGAACAATTAATCAGTGGAACAGCTTGCCTCCAGAAGTTGTGAATGCCCCAACACTGGGAGTCTTTAAGAAGATGTTGGATAGCCATTTGTCTGAAATGGTATAGGGTTTCCTGCCTAGGCAGGGGGTTGGACTAGAAGACCTCCAAGGTCCCTTCCAACTCTGCTATTGTATTGTATTGTATAAATGGGAATCAAAGTAGGCAGGAGATGGTACTTTTCTTTTTTTGACATTGCAAAAAGAGCACATTTCTGTCACAGTAGCAGCATACCTAGCTTCAAAATCATGGCATGCTAAATATTTTAATTTCTAATCTTTTGCTTTGTGCAGTAGATTACAGTGTACTAATATTTCAATATGTCTTGAAGTTTTTCCATATATAGAATATTTCCAGAAATATTTGCCTACTTGTTTTTCTTTCTATGGAACAGTCAAAAATATTTTCTTACTGAACTGTGAGAAAGGGCTTGACCTTTCTGCAGGGTTAGATTTCAAACTGAAGAAAACCAATAAGAAAATATAGAAACTTTGAGTAGTGGCAAATATGGTTGCTCATCTATTCAGTGTGATCTTTAAGTAGGGAGTAGTTCTAAAAAATCACTTGACTGTATTTGAATGAATATCTAAAAATATAGGCTGCAGATTTGTTCCAAACTATTGGTTATTTATGGCAATCCTAGCTCTCCATTTAGATACTGTAGTAGAATTAGATTCTCTGTCATTTTTAGTAACAGGAAGATGTAGTTCACTGAAATAATTATATTAAAATTCAACTTCCTTCATGTAATTTTCCACTGAAAACCATCTAGGCACTTGCATACTTACAAGATCAATATATGTAACCAAATATAGTCATTCAAGTGAAAGGTGATAATTGTCAATCAAGTGTAATTGATAAACATCTTTCACTTCATTGCAACCTAGAGAAGAGCAAACCAACCCTTCACAGAAGGAGCAAGTTGCTGCAAATAATTTCATATAGTTTTTTCTTATTTAAAATTTGAAAGATCATCTAAATGACTACAGAAGAGCTGTTATTTGTACAGAACTGTGACACTTTCCATTATATATTACAGCTAATTTCAAGCAGGAACCTATGATGCTTGCCATTTAGTTCCTCAATAGAAATAAGACTGCAATCCTGTATCCATGTATCTTGGCGTAAGCTCTGTGAGTCTCAGCAGGACTAATTTATCTTTTAATGGGTATATATTTGCATGTAACCATCATGTGTGGGAAGAATCTCATTTGTCTTAGTCCTAGTGACCAGTATCACAACTTGAATACATAGAAAATTTACTGGTTTTCAATTATTTTACATGTAAGATTTTGACAGGTTATAATATTGCAAAAACATATCATGACAATTTTTATAATTGTAACATATTTATTATACACATAAAATGGAAAAACATCTAAAACGGTATCAATTTTAAAAATCTATAGGACCACAATAAAAAATAACAGATGAGCCATGGATGGCTGTTTTATTTACGTTGTATGGTGCCTTTGCCCTTATTTTTTGTATGTTCATATAAATAGAATATGTTAGTCAGTGCTTGTGTTAACAGAACAGTGTAGATACCAGTGATGAAGTTCTTGATATATAAATATATGCAATTTTGGAAGAGTATGTACACTATGTGTAGAAGCAGAAGATGACAATTAGACAACAGTTTAAATCTAAATATTACAAAACTAAAAACAAAGGCCAGCATAATGCTGGGCAAGTTTACCACATTTTTCATAAACTTCCATTATTTTTTTATGCTTATGGAGTCTTATCATAACTGATATCAATCAAATCAAATTATCATTTTGAGGTTGGGGCTCCACTGTAAATATATTCTTTTTCACAAGTTATTTTTAGTTTTTCTCAATGGCTTTTGCTAAGTTATAAGGAAAGCAGTAGTTTAGCAAGTTTCTGTTCTCTCATTCTTTCTCTTGTGCTGTCCCTGTTCCCCAATATTAGATTGCTCACACTTGAAGTGGGCAGGCAATAAAGTGCTTTATACATAAAATATTTGAAGTCAAAATTCTAATAAATTAGAGTACCATTTTCATTACCTTTTAAGTGCTCATGACTGCAACCCCCAAAAGCCATTGATTTAACCAACTTGAGTCTGCATTCTTTTGTATTTCAGTGGAGATCCTATATATTGCTTTAAAAAAGACCACATACATTGGTCATTTCCATTTATATCTACAGAAACATGAATATAAACCTAACCAAATTCCCCTTTATGATTGCAATACACCGATGAAGCATTCAGTTAATCTCATTCGTTACAACAGTACAAATAACAGCAATTACTTTATCCATCACAAGTATATATACATATTTCCAAAGAAGAAAATGAAAGCTTCAACTTTTAAATTATCCATACATTTTTGTGCGGCTTAAATAAAACATTTAAATTTGATATTAAATCTATATTGATTATGAGAACTTTAAGGATGTAATGACAAGGCAAATTCTGCCAAATTAATGGGTTTTACTTTTAAGCACTCTATCTTGGTCCAGTCCAGAAAAAAAACTGAGGAAATTCTGTTCAAAAAATGCTTTGACCACACCAAACTGATAATTGTTGATAAAATAAAAATGCTAGAGTTGCAGGAATGCAGATGTGGATGTATACCATAGTACCACACTTTTGGATTGTTATGTTTAGTTCATACTTCTCATCCTATTGCATAGAAAAAGAGGGTTGTGTAAGAGAACTCCAACAATTTCTGCAATCTGAAATAAGGTGTTTTGAGTCAAGGTGAATGGGCTATGAATTAAAGTTCTTTTTATACTACATTTGGCACTGTTCCCTCACATTCCAGATTTAATCTCAGAGGCTTTTCATGAAGTTTTACATGTAAAACGGGAAATCTTTTTTCCCAGAGCTGATTTCCACTGGTGAACAAAGCTTTTCATATTGACTATCAGTCTGCTTGTATGAACGTCTTCATATCCAGCCACAAGATATTTCAATCCTGCCGATAAAATAGACATATCTTAATTATTTGTGCTTAACATATATTGAATAAATATTACCGTATTTTTCAGAGTATAAGATGCACCGGAGTATAAGACGTAGCAAGGTTTTGAAGGGGAAATTTTTTAAAAAAGTTTTTACACTCTGCAAACCTCCCAAGAACAGCCCATTTTTCGCAAAAATGGGCCCATCCCACCCCCAAAAGAGCATGGATAGCCTTTAGGAAGCTTATAGAGTGCTCCTGGGTGCTGGGGGGGGGGGGTTAAATTGAGCAAAATACGGGCCATTTTTTGCTCATTTCTGCCCTCCTCAGCCCCCAGGAGCTCTCTAAAAGCTTCCTAGAGGCTCTGCACAGCCATTTTGGTGAAGGGGGCAGGGTTTTGGGAGGCAAAAAATGCTGTGTTCAGTGTATAAGAAGCATCTGGATTTTCAGCCTCTTTTTTGAGGGAAAAAGGTACGTCTTATACTCCGAAAAATACAGTACTTATGAAATTAAAAAAATATTTAATTAGAAGAAAAAGAGAAATAATGTACATGAGAGTACTGCTGTAAACTGTCCAGAGTCACTTCAATGAAATAGGTTGTGTGGAAATTTAATAAATAAAATTAAAATAAAGTAGTTTTTCATCATGTTTATTGTAACAAATGCAATGCTCGATTGTCAATTAATTAATATATTTTTGTTATTGCTATGTGCATTATATTGTCAAGATGTTGTCAGTATTATTATAGCGACTGTCATTTACAAGAGATTGTATTTATATATCTTTTAAATAAAATGTGTTTGCTTCATTAATTGTATGGCTTCAGCAAAATTACATGGGAAAAAGCATAACACTTTGTTAATTAAAGTAGCTATAGAACAATTTTTGTTTCTCTAAAAAATTAAGTTACTTACACTATTTTATAGGTTTAAGTTGAATTTTGCTGGGAGTGTAGAAGATCCACACTGATAAAAGTAATTAGTACATATTATAATGGGTAAGCAGTGAAGGAATTGCTTAATATTATATTAAATTGTTTTAACAGTATATAGGCAGTATGGCAGTTTCATTTTCAGAAACATCAAGCTTTTTTTAGCACATGGAACAAAATGAAATTTATATAATATACAAACAGTGCAATATCTATTTAGTTATCTATATGATTTATATAATCAATTATATATAATTAAGATTTTATAAAATAAATATATCTATAAACCTACCAGGATTAAGTATTGGACAGGTACAACCTGGATTAGTCCATGATTCTGGATAAAGAATCCGTTTTCCTTGGACAATCTTCAGTTTTGTAGATTTCAGTACTTTCTGGATCATCACATTGACCTCAGCATGAGACCCTTTATCATGAGCAGACAAAATCTTTGCCTTTACCACTGTGGGAAGACAATTTCAGAAGGAAGAATATATCTTCTCTTTTTATTCCACTGGAATGGAATGAAACATAAATATTGACTAAAAGCAATGTGCAGTGTAAATCTTTAATACAAGGGTTACAACTATAATGGAGCCTCCCCATCATGGTCACGGGTTGAAAGGAAGTTGGTAGGACCCTAAGTGAATCATGTTAAATGAATGAGCCCTAATCCCTGCTCTCCCCAATGCATTCATTAAATGAATTGGGGTTGTTAAGTGTAAATGTGTACCTTAGGGTGGGGAAGACCATGGATGGCCTAATGAAGGAACAAGACCACTTGCCTCTAGTGTCCCAAAGCCTTCTCCCACCCACTGAGACACCCCATGCTCTGCTTCCGACTCTTTGTGGTCCTCATAGCTGTTTCAGACTGCTCTGTACCAATCCCCTGTCACCGATTAGTCACTTTTTAAAGATGCCAGTGCTCCGATGTCAGAGTAGGGAAGGAGGACAGGCCGCTCCATTGCCGGACCATGTGGCAGAAAAGCGGCCAAGTTTTTCTCAGACACTGGCAAAACTCAGAAAACTTACCGTAGTTAGAAACCTAGAAATAGTTCTGTCATCACAAATAACTGCCAGAAGTAAAGTGACATACAATAGGAAAGAATAGAATTGATTCCATACATCAAATCATACATTTTTCATGGAACATGCCTTAGTAATAGGACACATACCAATAATAAAACATACAATCAGTTGGAAAGACTTTAACTAGCACTCAAAATATGTTGGTAACTTTCACAGTTGATGAAAAAGAAATTCCCAAATCAGCCTAGCAGTTGAAAAATGTAGTGTCCTCATAAGCAATTTTCCATTTTGAATGATGATGTCTGCATAATTAGTACATCATTTCACACTAATATCCAGTTCTGCTAATATTAGGAATAGTCCATTTCATACATGCTATTATGTGTATTTTTTCCTGGTATTTTAACATATTTACTGCTGATATCCGCATCAATATGGGGACATCTATAGGATTTATACCAAAGATAGGATCTGCTGGGAGGAGCAGAAGGAAATCTGAAATCTGCTATTTTTTTAAATTGTCAAAAGAAAGTCATCTTTATCACAATAGGATTTGCTACTGATGGTATATTTTGTGCATCTAACACATCATAAGATTCTTCTCTATTCCATTTTAACAGTGCAGCAGAGAGCAGCTTGCAGTTTTTTTAACATGACCACAACACATTTGCCTTTTCCCTTATTCTTTTTCTGAGCATCCAGTAAAAAAGAAAATATTATGAAATCAATCATAAATTATTTGAGTTGCTGGTGCACTTGTTCAGAATGCTGCCTTGGTAGCTATAATTCGATGCATGTTATTTGCCATGAAGTAATTTACAGTAAAAGTTTGGGACCGTAGAGCTTATTCTTATTGATTTCTCCTCAGGCTACTTTTCAACTTAGTCCAGAATAAGAGGAGAAGAAATCCATATGTTGCTTCCTTAAAGTGAAGCATATATAGTTGTAACAAATGCAGTTTCCTATCTGAAAGAAGCAAACTATTTCTCCAAGCGAGAGTCCTACCCTACCCTATAAAGATCCGCAACAAAGATACTTAAAATCATGGTAGAAGTCAAGATACCTTCTTACCTATCCAGTATAAAATCATTTCTATTTATTTTGGTGAATCATGCTTATAGAATTAAAGAATTTGAAATGAATAAATGTCTGCTAAGGAATCTTCTGCAAGAGAAAAAAAATGTACTTGAATCCTGCTACAGTTGCCAACTGATTTCTTGTAATATCTCTGTCCTTAACACTTGTCTGATTTCATTTCCATGTCAAGAAATTTTTTGTCCAATTAAGTACTGGGCCAGATGCAACAGCTAAAAGCACTGGAAACTTGCCAAGAAAAACCTGATAATTTTTGCACTTTCCAGTCTACAGAACAATCGAAATGGTACATTAATAGCTTCTTAATATCAGGATACACCATCCGCATAAATATAAATAAAAAAGTAGAATTTAGACATTGAAAAGTGTCTATAATTTACCCCAATTTGTTCATTATAAATGAGCACAAATAGCATATCTATATCTATCTATCTATCTATCTATCTATCTATCTATCTATCTATCTATCTATGTGTGTGTATGTGTGTATGTATATATGTATTTGTGTTTGTGTGTGTATGTATGTATATGTATATGTATCTGTACATGTGTGAAACATATGGGTGTATATGTATGTATTTTGACTCACCATATGTATATTTCATGGCACAAAAGATCTTAAAATTTTGCAAAACTTGGTCTTTACATTCACACTTTCCTGTGGAAACACCAAAACATCTGTTACCATGAATCACCAACACTTCTAACTGCTATTACAACATATTACAAACCGCAAATGAATGACATGGTTGCCCATATTCCCTGAACTGAACTTGGAAGGAGCATATTATATAAAAGAATATACAATTACTTAATGTATTGTAATTTGGAAGGATACATTTCTTTAAAGAAATCGATTATTTTTACATGAAATATTGTGTGTGTATCATGCAAGTCCTGAATTGCTCAGAATATTTGAAGAAGTTCCTTGAAGTCTTAATAGGCCACCAATGGGGAACATTTTGAAGGAGGTTAATTTTGGGATTGATATTTCTGAAATTCCAGCTATGCATTGGATCGAATTGCCCACAAATACTAATTGCAGTGGATAGACTATGGGAGGGGGTGGGTAGGTCTCCATCTCCTATTGTGTCATAGGCATCTGGATGACTACTATGATAAACAAAATGCTGAAATAAGAAGTAACTCTTGGCCTAATGCAACAGGACTTTTCTTGAGTTCTTGTGGAGTTCTTCCCAGGTTTCCAAGGGTTCCTTGTTTGTTTCATAAAAGAAATGGAAAACTTCAGAATATATTCTACTACTACCAACAATTGTAACATTTCTTCAGGAAAAAAACTTATGATAGGATAATTCAGACTAAATCTTCTGACACTTCGTAATTTCTCTGTGTGGTGTTCTTAATCATTCTAACAATAATTTGTCCCTTCAGTTAGATACACTAGAAAGAATATAAAAATGAAAGCACTTAATATTTCTGCCCAATCCAGCAATATAAATATTAATAAATATTTTGTCAATGTGAAATCACAAGGGATAGCTTACACAATCTTGCAGGCGATGGTTTTAATGAGATACTCTTTCTTTTAAATATACCAAGCTAAAACTTTAGAAGGAATTGATTTGGGGAAAAAGAAAAGAAGCCTACATTGATACACATAAAAGTCTAAAATTAATAATGGAAACCTAATAACATTAGTTACTTATTTGCATAAAAAATGGGTTTCAGTTAATGTTCATTCCAGAAACAATGATTGGAGAGAGTTCATTGGGTCCAGGAAGGGGAATGTGTCCCTCAGAAAAGCAGTATCTTTCATCTTTAATTAAAAAAATAAAATATATATATTTTGGAAGAAAAGCAGTATGTTGCCTACCCATACTCCAATTCTTGCTCAGTGTATTCTTAATTTTCTGGCTTTTTGAAACAGGCCTAGAAATCTGGGTAATGAAAATCATTTCATTTTGTCTTTTATTTGTGACCTGATGGTTTTCCCACTATTTATTAAAATCAACTTTTCACTGATTATTAATCAGTAAGATTATCCTCCTAATGAGATGACTAGCAGGCCTGTGAACACATTCTTACCGGAATGCCGAAGAGCAGAGTATCCTTGTTCTTCCTTCCACTCCCAATCTACTTCACTCTTGTTAAGTGCAGGGATTTCATGGTACCACTTTCTGTCTGCATTGCTAAAAATCAAGGAAATAATGTGAAATATTTCTTATGAAATCAGTTCAATTCAGTTCAAGTGTTATTATAGAGAACTGTCTTCATAAGATTTAGAGAATCAGAAGTAAGTTAAAAAAACAATCATGTTAAGAATTTATATGTCGTATTCTTAATCAGCATCGTTGTTTTCTGTTTGTTTATTTTAAAACCCTCTATAGCAATGGTCTCCAACCTTGGCAACTTTAAGACCTGTGGACTTCAACTCCCAGAGTTCCTCAGCCAGCTTTGCTTTGCTGGCTGAGGAACTCTGGGAGTTGAAGTCCACAGGTCTTAAAGTTGCCAAGGTTGGAGACCATTGCTCTATAGAGACCCGGACTCATTTAATTTCTTCATCAAATATTCTAAATTGTTTTTTGCAGAAATACAACCAAATCATCAGCAAAATCCCTCCATTTATAAACTTCCTTCTTAATATTTATACCTCTTATTTTTCCATCTTGTCTGATATCTCTATTCAAAACTTTGATCACCAAGTTAAACAGCAAAGGAGACAAAGGACATCCTTGTCTCGTACCCTTCCAATTTCACATGAGTTAGTTAAGTCACCATTAATAATAATTTTTGCTTGCTGTAATATGTAAACAACCTTGACCCACTTGAATAAAATTCCCACCAAAGTCCATTTTTTCCAGGACTTTAAACAAAAAACCCAATTTAAGTTGTCAAAGGCCTTTTAAATATAATCATGGAAAATTGTGATTTTCCCTTATAGAACAAAATTGTTCAGATGACAATTGTTCCAAGCATAACCTCAAGAGATTTATCAGGTCTCAACTTTCTCTAATCCAACATATATGGAGCAGTATAGCAAACACTTGGGGAACAAGGCATGCATTCACTGATGCTACCTTTTGGGCAAATGACATAGTTTAATACAGTGGTCTCCAACCTTGGCAACTTTAAGACTTGACTTCAACTCCCAGAGTTCCTCAGCCAGCAGAGCTGGCTGAGGAACTCTGGAAGTTGAAGTCCACAGGCCTTAAAGTTGTCAAGGTTGGAGATGCTGGTTTAATACATTCAGCTACTTTCAAATCTTAATGATTCAAGCCGAATAGCAGAAAGAAAAGTCATGATGTTGATTTTGTATATCTTGCAGTCAAGTACTACTAAGCTTTTTTAAATTTTTGTTCATAAAATAGCATGAATCTGTTTGTAAATTTGGACCTTTTTTGTGGCCTTTACTTCAGACACAGGATTATTAAAGGTAAATTCCTGTCCTTATTATGATAAGCCAACTTGTTCAGTTTTTCTACTCACCTGTTGATGCAGTCTCCATTGATTGAATCACAATTTCCTGCACAATCACATGGTCGACAGCCATAATGTCCAAATCCCCAGTATCCTACCATACACCGATCACACTGGGAACCAGACACTCCAGGTTTGCAGGGACAATCACCATTGCTGGGGTCACAGAAAGTGCTGTTGCTAAAAGGAAGCATGGCTGATCCAATGGGGTTGCAAGAGCACACTGCAATTTCAGAACATGCATATGAGGGACTGCTCTTCATATTCAATAGAAATGACAGCTTGCTTTCTTTGCATATTGTTCCTCTTGGTTATTTTTTCCTGAATATTTAATTTATTTATAATATCCAGGGGAAATATTCCTCTAGAGTTCCAAATTTTCCTCTAAAGTTTCTCCTGAAAATTATGCCTATACCTATCTCTTCTCAAATATATGAGCTTACAGTTACAGACAAAGCTAATTGAGTACATTTCAATCCCAACAATATAGAGAGAGGGGACATTAGGTTCAAGAAGGCATGTATAAATTAGGTGTATGAAATAATGCACACATTATACAGCAAGGACTTTATTCTCATATGAACATGTAATAGATCTGTAATACTAGAAATAAACATTTGAAGAAAAGACCAGTGTGTAGATAAACATTTTACTTCACATTCCTCTAATATCTCTGCTCATTACATTGGTTTCTCTGTTTCTGTTAACTGGAACTTCATGGTTTAAAGGTGTCTGATTCCATCATGTCTGATTTGGCCATAATATTACATATTATTATTTAGATCTTTTTTTGGCATCACTGTACAAACTCTGGTGCTCCTAATATTTTGAAAAGATCACATTCATTTTAATGTTTAATGTCTATAGTTGAGGGTTTTTATATTATTTGTTTACCACTTTATTAACATGGAAAGTAACTGTATAACAAATGTCAAATGGTACCTTTTTATTAGCTGTATGAATTACATTTGGCAAAATTTATAAAAAAGATATAAAGAGCTAAATACTACGAGAATCTGTAATTATATATCTACTTAATTGGGAACTGAGATTGTGACTGACGTATATAATTATTTTGTATTCTTGCTTGTGTTTACTGACTTTTAGGAAAAACATCTACATTTACAAATGCAATCCCCACTTTTTAAAAAAGTGTTCATTGCTGTTTTGTTGTGTTTTTAAGAATGAAGTGTGGAAAAAAAATATTGCCCATTGTTACTAATTTTCATTATGTGATTAAGATATTCACTAATAATTTTACCTGTATATCTTTAAATGTTGATAATATTTTGAAACTGTTTCATTCTAGTTGTTTACTCTTGCTGCGGAGTTTGATTATTTTTACCTGCTACTAATTCTTAAATTAAAGATTAAGCATGGGCTAGCATTTTTAGTCACTTTTAGAATTCTGCATGAAAACTTTGGTTAGTTAACTAACTAATTCTAATGGAACAATAATATTATAAATATGAGGTCTGGGTAATGCTATAGGTTTAAATTGAAAAAAAATACTTTTGGAGCATATAGGGATGTAAATAAAGCATCTATTTGCAATTCATTAAAGGATATGTGTAATTTGTCAGGATTGTGTAGCTACTTTAAGGAATCAAACAAAGCCTGTTCAATGCATTATAGATAGAAGTTGTGTTCACTATACTCTATATTCCTAAACTGCTCTTCTAAACTGAATCCAAAGCACTGCACAGTTCATCATCTTCATGCATATCGTACAATCCTTCTTAATGGAAGCTTTACATTATATAAATTCTGACCACTCTATTTGCCTAGGTTGAGGCTGATAAAATTCATGGTTGAGCAGAAATGTAGTTGAGATTGAATTAAAACTCAGGTTCCCTTGTTCCAACTTTATGTTGCATGGATATTGTGTGCAGTATTTATTTAGAGAACCTTTAATATTGGTATTAAATAACTTGTAAGATAAGTATATTTTAAATTCCTTCTTAAACTGTAACAAGAAAAGAACTGTTTCTTCTGCAGTACTTCCTAGTTGTAAATTTTTTATTGTTATTTTTAAATGCAAAGTATATACTAGAATACATCTGTCAGGTATGCATACATAAAAGAAGCCTAAGGTTAAAAACCCTAACATATTAATTTAAAAAATCACCCAATGTTGGAAACTTGTAAAATTAGAATTGGCTTACATTTGCAGGTGTCAGGAGCAGAAAAAGGCTTTCTAAGATCTCGATAAAAGCCTGGCTTGCAACGTTCACAGTGCTGTCCTTCAGTATTATGTTGACAGTTGTCACAAATGCCCCCACTTTGGTTCCCTGATGCCAGCCATGTGTTCATATCAAAGTGACAAGTGTCAGAGTGCCCATTGCATTTACAAGCTGAAACATACCAAAGATTAAGGAGGGTGGAGGAGAAAGAAAATCAGGATTTTGCTCTTTTGTAAAAAAAAAAAAAAAAAAGGTACGCAGCATGGAAACTGTAAATATTGAAAGCAAATGATATTAGAATATATGGGTTCGTAAAATGAGCAGATTGTATTACTGTCTAGTTTTTCTAGTATATTGTATAGCTTGTCAAATGGAAAATTGCTCATTTTATTTGGATGGATAAATGAATGGATGAATAGACGTGCATAATTTTTATGTAAATAATGTTTCCAATAAAATACTGTAAAAGCAAGAAAATACAATAAAAATTCAAAATGAGCCTCGCTCTTATCTCATAGAGATAATGTAACAGTTATTTATTATCTCGTAGAGATAATGTAACAGTTAGATTGGGTAATTTGATTAAATGTTACATTTAATCAAATTTCAGATCAGTTTTTCTTGGCATACATTTAGGATCACTGTAAACTGTTTATGTCTAGGTACTTTTTATATTTTAGATGAAGGCTGCAAATCTTTTGATTTTAATTCAGAACATTTTATTTAAATGCTATGGGAAAATATAAGTAACAGTTCCTTGACTTTTCAGTAGACTAAACAATACAACTTTCTTCAATATGATGCTCTCCATACAGTATGTACTAAATAATCTAGCAAGGACTGGAATGTTTTTTAAACCTATGGGCTTTCTTTCAAGATTTTGAAACAGGATCCCATCACTGAGGAACAAGTGGAATTAGATGACCTATAGTCATTTCCAAATAATATATTCTATAGCATGATGATTCTAAATTCTTAGCTACCATGGTCCATTTGAGATTAGGAGAGTTGTAGTCCATGATATCAAGGCTACCAGTTCCGGGAATCTTCAAACAATACCTTCTCAGTAAATGTCTGTTCTTATTTTTGTAAACTGAGAAATTATTTAAATGGATGCAGATGGTAGTTTTAGTTTTGTCTTGAACTATTTTACCCCATCATTTGCAACATTTTGTTTTTACTCAATAGTCTATAAATGATTTCATTACTTTGGTCTCATACTTACATTTGCAGACATTTGGAGCTCCTGTTTGGCCATTTGCAGCAAGCCAGGGTTGGTCATTGTAAAGAGGGGCACAATGCTGACAATGAGTTCCTGCAGTATTATGTTTACAAATGCATCTCCCATGGACCTAGCAATTGAAAATAACCATGTCTGTAATGGCATGTGTACAGATTTCAACATTCAGATATCACCATTACACAATTTTAGAGTATGTGCTACTCCAGTGTTTCTCAACCTTGGCAACTTGAAGATGTCCGGACTTCAACTCCCAGAATTCTGGCTGGGGAATTCTGGGAATTGAAGTCCGGACATCTTCAAGTTGCCAAGGTTGAGAAACACTGTGCTACTCTAAGGCAATAGAATATCCCTTTGTAACTAAAATAATTCCCTTTTGAAAACTGATGACTCCAAGCTCATCCAATAGATAATCAGCACACTTCCCTACCATGAATTTCATTGCGTGTAACATCTTCTAGTTGTAAGAGGATTTGATATTCTTAATGCTGTTTCCTACACAACCAATGGGTTGTATGTTTTTTTTTTTTTTTAGAATTAAGCAAATATATACGTAGATACTGGGAAACTGAGAATAGGGAGAGGCTGCTACAGCTCACGCAGAAAGTAAATTATAAGGAATGGAAAAACATATAATTGGAGAAGGAAGACAAGGTTGCAGTGATACTATTATTCATATTCCAATCTTCCATTACATATTTATTATACTGCACAACTTTCTCAACATCAAAGCAATAATACTTTAAAAATGCTGCCAAAAATGAAATGCATTTTTCTGAAATAAAGTACCGCTTAAGCATCACAAACACACTCTGTAGAAAATAAATGATACTATTGCATTTCTTGAATAATCTTGGAATGACTGATTCCTATTTAATTCTGTTTAAAAATAAGATATGCATACATTAAACATATTAGTTTATCTAAAATGATACCCATTGTAGTTGGTCTTCCATTAAAATACTTGCCTGTTCCTTTTTATATTATTTTTCTTAGTACTTTGTAACTTCATTTTATTTTGGCTCCAAAGTAGTAAAAAAGAGTGGCCATCTGCTTTACACACTTCATGTATGATATGTGTTGTAGAGTCAAGCTAAAAGATGAAAATGCAATCTGTGGAGGACTAGGAAAAGTATTGCAGACAAAGATATTTTCTTTAGAAAATACGTATTTCTCAAGATTATTCTGCATCCTTCAAGATATTCTTAAGAAGGCCTGATTGTGGTGAGCACGTATTTACGGTATTGGAAGGACATTTATGAAAACCATATTATAAAATATTCTTACGATGCTGCAGTGCAACATTATTCAATCTTGTTTAGAATATTATGACAAGGTACTGTACATAATAGCAGATTAGACTTAATGGACTTAATACTTCAATGTTATTATACCCACATGTCAACTATATGATTTAGGAGATTCAAACAAGACATTCCATTGTATTTGATTTATCAATGCACATATTTACATTGATGATAGGATGTACATATTGAAGCCAGTGTCCTATATAATGGAATGGAACTAGAATTCAAGGGAGGCATTCATAACAATAGGTTTCCTTCCAGCTTCAACAAACAATGTCTTTCTGCAGAGAATTCAAGCCCCTAATTCTTATATACACATGTATTTTGCATTCTTGCCAACTAAGATCTGTAGTTAGTTTTGGAATGCAAACATTTCCTTTGGTAGTCCCAAATGTGCTTTTTCAAGAGGCAACTGGACTTTCTGGTTTTTCTTTGAACATGTTTTGCTTCTCATTCAAAAACCAGAAAGTCCAGCTGAAGAAGCTTCTGGGGTGAAAAGCAAAATGTCTTCAAAGAAAAACCAGAAAGTCCAGTTGCCTCTTGAAAAAGCACCTTTGGGACAACCATGTCTTGGATGACTGAGAACCTTCATAGACATTTCCTTTGGTAAATATGAAAGATCACATTGTTCCTGCTTAGTGATATGGAAAATGGAACATCCCATATAGTGCATCATAAGTAATACCATATTCATAAAAAGCACGTCAGTTACGAGTTGCATACCAACATTTCTAGAGGATACTGGATTAACGCTGATCTAAATAATTCCATTTGAAAATGTTATAAGGAATTGCCAAACAGACACATTTCCCAGGCTGTTTCATTATTTTGTGAATCAACACAAGCATTTAACCAGAATCCTTTTACACACACACTATTTTTCATTCTGTCACTAGGCCTTTCCCTTTCACTTCACTCACAGACTGCTTTTCTTCTTAGCTTGACAGTTCTCTCGTAATGTCATTTATTATGCTATACAAGGCAAACACTGTTACAAAAGTTGACCTATGTAAGATAAACGAGTGACTGATTTTCACACATGAAGTCAGTTGCTAGGGCATGTTTCCTTCCATTGCCTTTTTGTTCTTGAATTAATATATTCAATTAGTTCTTTTCAAATTGCCTGTTGTTTTTTAAGAAAATCCTTCATGACTTATGTTCCTAATATACTGTATCAAGAAAGGAGTGACTAATCAGCTGTAGACTAAGATGCCTTCTCTTCTCCCCCCTTGATTGTTCTTAATTGCATTGAAAGATGTCTTGAGTTTTAATTTACAAGTGCAGGGAGGTTTGTTTTTAATAGATGTCATAGGAATGCATCCTGAAAAAGTAAAAGCCTTTGAAACAATATCAAAAGAATAACAGAAAACCATCCTTAGAAAATGGTTTTAAACTATCAATCTTGCACTACGCTTTTTTCAAGAGAATGAAAGGCAAAATGTCACAGCAATAAATATCACAATATAAAGGATTGTTTTTTGTACTGTATGACCTATCTTGCAGCCACTTTGAAACTGGTTTGATTAACTACATTTTAATTTTTATTTTGAGTGTATAATTACAGTGATTGTGAGAATGCTTAAATGGAAATATATTTTCTAAATAAAAATGTCTTTTCCAGTTTTGATATTAACTTTTCTACTATTTCTACTGTTGAACAAGTAATCCTAAATCCTATTAAAATTGCAAATGAAAGATTTCATGAGATAAAGAATTCATTAAAAATAACATTTAAATACCAACATGTTATATGCCCAATTACCAATGAAATGTTACATAAACTGTGAACGGGTATATAAGTGTAGTTTATTAAAAAAAACTTTTAAAATATTTAAAATTAATTATCTGAAAGATTACTAAAAGGTAATTTCAATAATCCTATGACCAGGTGCTAAAAATGCCCTTCTGAAGGGTTAAGAATTCTGAGACTGAGGCTTGTAATGAGTTATAAAAAGGACCTAAAAAGATTTATTAGATATGAGTGGGACTTGAAGAAAGACAAGGAAATTATCAGAGTGCTAGTGGGAAAAGATGCCAAGAGTTAGATATAATAGGGAGAAGACTGAACTGCTTAATTCCTTCTTTGCATCTCCCTTTAACCAAAAGAAAAAAAAGCAGTCCAATCTATCAGAAAATGCACCTTGGGGGATAGAAGACAAATACCAATCAAATTAGCAAAGATGTTATGAGATAACATGGTGCTTTTAATGAAGTTGCTGGGGCTAGAAGGATTACATCCCAAGATACTAAAGAAATGGCAAATGTGATTTCAGAACCACTAACTGTAATTTTTGAGAACTTCTGGGGTGCAGGGGAAATGCCAGAAGACTGTTAAAAAAAACCAACATTGTTCCTGTTTTTTTTAAAAAAAGGAACAAAGAAAACCCATGACATTACAGACCAAACAGCTTGACCTTAACATCTGGAAAAATTCTAAAAAAGATAATCTATAAGTTTGCAAATGCTTAGAAGAAACAGGGCAATTACTAGAAGCCTACATGGGTTTGTGGAAGAATAAACGGGGGTGGGGTTTTTTTTGACAAATTGACTAATAGATAAAAAAATGCTTTGGATATGGTGTACCAAGACTTCAGTGAAGCATTTGATAAAGTTGACCATAACCTCCTTCCTTCATAAACAGAAAAATGTGGGATGGAGAGTCCCACTACCAGGTGGAGTTATAGTGTTTGAACAACCATATCCAGTGCCTGGACCTAAATCTATGTTTACACAGAGGGAGATATCTCAGGGTTCTCTCTTGGACCCGGTGTTCTTTGACATTGATATTATTTACTATATTTTTAATAACACTGAAGATATTATACAAATAGTCCTTGATTTATGACTGTAATTGAGTCTGGAATTATAATTGTAACTCATTGTGGTAGTAATTCTTGGCATCATATGACCACACCTGAACCACACCTGATTGTTCCATATTTTTTGTGGTGGTTATTAAACAAATCAATTTTACTCAACACATGTTTTTGCTGGAAACTAAAAATAAATGATGGAAATTGCCAAAAATGTTGCAAATGTTATATGACCATGGGACATTGCAAATGGCCATAACGGGGAGAAGGAAAGAAGAGTCAGCAACTGGAAAACATAGTATTCAATCCAGTATAGCAAAAAAAGATAAAAACGTTGGCATCTGAAATAGGCTCTTTTTCCTGGAACAATGGGATGAACTAATCTGCCTCCAGCAGCTCAGGCAGGGAAGTTGCTTCCCAGCAGGCAACCTTTTATTATAATCATAAATTGTACACATGCATAGATAAAGGGAAAAGAATATTTATAATTCAAGGAACTGGAAAAAGATTGTGGAAAAAAGATCACGGGTGTGCTAAAACCTCCAGAACTAAGGAGTGGCATAACCAGTTTCAATAAAGCAGTCAATCAGGAGAAAAGTTCCATCTAAAACAAGGAATGAGGTCCAAGGGACACATAAATGCACGCAGCCCTTATAGTTTTTCAAGAACTTTTGATGCCATTTCAAAATATTTGGATTTGAAGTCCTGCTGAATTGATTCAGTAATAACCCAATTCCCCATTCCCTCCCCACTCTGGGGCCAGCCAGAGGTGGTATTTGCTGGTCAGGGATGTGCAGTCAGGGGAGGCAGTGGAGGCAGAACCTCACCACTGTCATCATGAAAAGAAAAAAAATTAAAAGGAAAAAGGCTGAGGTAGTTGCTGCCAGAGTCACAGT